CTTTGGAAATTCAGTTTGCAACCAGGGGAGCATGTAGCTGAAATAAGTCTGGCATGAAAGGTCACAAAATCATGTGATTGAGCCATGTGATCAAGAATCAAGAGGAAAGTTTTACTGCTCGTTAGGTAATCCTTTACCAGAAAGATTTGTTCTTGTAGAGATGGAAGACAACCCTGCAAGGAAGTATGCCCCTCTCTGTCATAGAGTCTAAAGTAGCACCTGCAGATTGAGTTTGTGCAAGGCAAAAAGGTTCATGTTGTGTGTGTGCTCACTAACTATCCTGGAACTGCAGGATTTTTGACACTTTGTTAGAAGTGTACCAGCCACTAATTGGGGTTAACACTTATCTGAAAATCCAGGGAAACTAGACTCAGTTGGCCCAAGAGGCCCTTTCCAGTCTTACATGCTTGAACAGTGACCTCTTGCCCTCCAAGATGTGTGGACAATTACCACAGAACATTGATGAAGACACTCAGGAACACCAGAACGGCAAATATGCAAAACTAGCAGTGGTAATGATATTGGCCCACCATCAGGAGGCAAGCAGCTGATGGGGATATGGAAACAGGCATTTTGTCAGCTGAGAGCAGCAAATTAGTCTTCTTCCTGCAAGGCCAGTATAAATGGCTGCTAACCTGACCATTTTGAACCTGGAAATAAAAATAAACCGAGCCTTCTTAAGCTCCAAGGGAACCAATCCAGTCTTCCTTACTCTTTGAATTCAGGAAGCAAAGGGTATGGAGCTCACTTCCTGAGATGCAACAGAGCTTTTTCTGCTGCCCTACTCAGAAGTAACAGGAAGAGCATTTCCTGCTGGAGCAAAATCTCATAGGAAAAAACCCAAAAAAGGGAAATGGTTAAGGAATCTGGAACAGATTCTGAATAGAACTGAATGGTAGAAAGCCAGGGTTGCATCAAGAACCCTGAGGTAATTTGGGTCCGACTGGAAAATAGAAATGGGCCAGGTATTTGTCAAAAGGAGAGAGCAGGGCAGCTCTCCTGCCCTGGTGGAAGACTTATTCACATGAAAGTAATACTTTGTTGCCTGATGCATACTTTGGGGTAGACAATACAGTACCATAAAGTGGAGGAACGTTTCCACTTTACAGCATTAATGTGTTTTTGGGCAGATCCAAGAAATAGTATATTAATAGAGGAGGGGATCAGAACATGGATGGTACCTCAATTTCCTGGAGCTAGCAGGGTAGCCTCAAAGTCCTTAAAGGATGAAGCGCTTTAATAGTTTGCATGTTAAGAGAGTTCCAAATCTTCAAATAGAAAGTCCACCACAGCATTTTGGACCTCATTAGGAAAGCCTGAGCCATACAACAAGGAATATCAACAACTGTTATGGCTACAGGCTAAAGCACATTTTTTGGGCCAGAATATTACGTGATGTCATCTAACCCCTCCGATGTTTGGAGGACCTGAGCCACATGTCACATTAGGTCCTTGACTCCCCTGAAGTCATCTAGTGCAGTAGTTGGGCAGGCTACCAGAAGTTGGGCATCGTAGTCTACCACAGAATTTGAGGTCCCTTGACCTTGATGGACATGGCTATTGGTGGCAGCCCCCTGGCTCCCCACTGCTTCAGCCCAAGAGGAGCCTCTGTGGTTTGGTTCTGGCCTAGGGTGAGCTTGACACCCTTGCTCTAGTGAAACAGAGAGATAAAAGTGGTCTTATGTGCTGGGGTGGAGGGAGGAGAGGGGAAAAGAGAGAGATGAAAATTAGTTGGATCTTCTGCAGATCACTCAGCCTTCAACCTGGATCCACACAATCCTCTTAATATCTGGGAATTGGACAGAATGTCTTCCAGTTCCTTCCGGGTCAGCAATGACCAAACACCACATACACAGACCTAGCCTCAAATTCAGGGTTAGGCTGGACATGGCCACAACGGAAGGGGTGAATAGTAGGGCTCTGCAAAACAGCACCATTCCGTTTTGCCTTGACTTTCGATGGAACAGCGTTTTGTTTCGAATTTCATTACTGTTCTGTTTTGTTTAATTGAAACAGTGACGCTATTTCAACGTTTTGCCCATACGCTATAATGGGGAAGCTTGAAACAGCCTCTCTCATCCAGCAGGTAGATTGGGGGCTTGCAACCCCTGGAGGGCTGTGTCATTCCTCCCAGGGCTGTGGGCCCCCAATCTGCCTGTCAGACAAGGGAGGGAAGCCAGGTGCTGCCGCCTGGGACCAGGGAACAGGGGAAGGGAACTGAGTCCAATCACTGTTTGCCTCTCCAGCACTAGTTGAGTTGAGGAAAGGAACTCAGCCCAGGTGAGCTGAGTTCCCCTCCCCAGCAGTAAGATCTAGTGCTTGGGAGGGGAACTCAGCTCAGCTGGGCTGAGTTGCCTTCCCCAGCCGAATTGCAGTGCTGGGGAGGGGAACTGAGCTTGGGCTCAGTCTGACACTTAAATGGTGAAGCATAATTCCCCAAGAGGGCCTAGTCTGCAGATCTCCCTTAGTTGCCAGTCAGAGTCACACTCCATTGCAAAACTTTTCAAAGCTGAGGAGATTAAGGGTTCGATAAGTCATAGGGCTGTGCGAAGCTTCAGTCGCTAATTCGATTTGGTGGAGATTCGGCTAGATTCGGTGGCCAAATCTCTGAATCCGAATCAGATCAGGAGACCCTTTAATCTCTTCGAATCGATTTGTAAAGATTCAGCAATTCAGGCATAGACACAGCTTTAAATGTTTTTATACCTTTAGGTACCAGGCAGCTTGTGAATACTGCAATGCTGGGGAGGATGGAGCATCCCACAGAATCACGGGGGGCTCCTCAAGTGCACTCGGCAGCAGACCCAGAAGTGGACTAGAATAATTTCTGGTCCACTTCCAGGTCTGCTGGAGAGTGCACAGGGCTCCCCCCCTCCAGCTTGGCAACTTGTACCTCCTAGATTTGGGGGAGGTATGTGGAGTCCCCCTGTGGCTGATTGCTGAACTGAGGGGGCACTGGGGGGCCCCCCAGTGTGCTCCCCAGTGGACCTGGAAGTGGACCGGAAGTACTTCCGGTCCACTTCTGGGTTCGTCACTCAGCTTGTGCTCCCCGCACCCCTCCACGTGCTCCTGTGGGACACTCCATCTGCCCCAGCATTGCAGCATTCATAAGCTGCACATAGTACCTCGAGATATGTAGAAAAAACATTTAAAGCTGCATCTATGGCCGAATCAGCATCAAATCTTCAGATTCGGCTAAATTAAATCAGGGACAGTGATTTGCATCAACAAATCGAATCACTGTCCCCGATTTAGGCCGTATCCAAATCGAATAGGGCCCGTTTCACACACCCCTAATAAGCACTGCTGAGGGACATAGGGGCTGTGTCCAGACGAACGCAGACATATGGTATGTGGTGCTGCAGACCCATCTGTGGCACCACACACAATACATGCAGGTATTCCCTGCACTACCTTGCTGCTACCTCAAAAAAAACTATGCCGGAAAAAAATGGGTTGGTACACGTGGCAGCAGTGTGCACTGCCCAAAACCAGAGCCTGGCCAGCCAGGGCCATGCTCTGGCTATCAGCCAGGCTTCCTACCGTGACTACAGCCCCAGGAGGCCCCTAGGTAAGGCTGCTGGGGCCAGCATAATTGCTGGCCCCAGCCTTTCCTACCCCACTCAGTAACATGTCATGCGTCAGAGTGTGCATAGCATGGGCGTCCCCTTGGAACAAGTAGCAGTGTCACAAGGTGTGTGCTGCCACTACTTGTCCCTGGGGAAGCAAACGTCTGTGCTTGTCTAGACATGCCCAGGGAGCCCATCTAAGTGTCTTATCCTTGGGTTGGAGGTAGATGCCATGGATTTATCCATGAAATAAATCCAGAGATGTGTTTTGCAGGCTTTTTATGTTCTAGAACAACAAGAAACCTACATATCAAACATTTCCTAGGAGTATGAAATTCTCTAAAGCAGTTCAGACATCTGGTGTGTTTACTGGATGTGGGCATAGTGCTTTGGCAAAGTAGGCTTAGTTTCAGACTCAGAAAGCAGAGAGAAACCCTAACAAGCACACTCCAAAAACTAATAAAACTCTTAACCTCTCTATTCAAAGGGGGAAAGAATTCAGGAAGAGCCTGCAAGAATGAAGCCCCCAAAATGGAGGTATATGTGGCAAAGAAAAAGGTTAAATTTTGGGCAGAGGGATGCTAAGGGTACCAGACAGTAACAAATGGGAAAACTGCTATGAAAGGATCTTCTTTTTCAAAGAAAGAAAATATTGAGAACAATATCAATAAAGAGAAGCATCATTTTGAATGAAGGCATTTACAGCAAGCATGTAGGCTATAAGCATGAGCAAAGAATAGTGTTCTGTCCCTAGCCAGGGTGGTTGAGAGGAATTAAGGAATAGGTAATATACATTACCTTTTATTTCCCTGGCATAGGGCTACTGTTAAGACAAGACTAAGTGCTCAAAGGCAGATGTACACCCACAGTGAGGATGTGTACATGGATTATTACTCAAAAGACAATGGTAAAATGTATCCTGCCTAATTTGCAGGGCATACAAAAAATAAATCAGATTCCCAAGCCAGTTAATTCTAAGACTGCCCTAAGAGCAAAGTCAAAAGATATGGATTACTGCAAATCCAATTCAAATTTCTTATATGTCGGAGAGAAAGTTCTTGCACTTAAAAGTTTTCTGTTAAGAATAGTGATCCTAAGGCAGTTGACTCAGATGGAGGTACAGAAATCTCAAATTAAAAGTGCTGTGCTGAAGAAGTCTGGCAGAAGAAATGAAGAGGGGGAGTGGGAAATCCCATGGTGCTTTAAATTTTGCTGAAATGGAGCTCAAAACCATGAATAGGGTGCAGGCTATTGAATGTTCATACATTACAAAATTTCTGCTTAAACTAATACGAATTACCAAAAAAAAAAAAATCCTCTAGTGTTAAAATTAATTTACTTGGTTGGTGAAAGGTTTCACGACGCTGATACTCATTTTCTGTTAGTGGTTAGCATTAACTTCAAGCTTCTAGCACCAAAAATTGAATCAAGTTGAAATTGCTTTCTGTTTTATTTATTTTCATGGTTTTTTTTCCTATAACCTCAACTTCTATTTTAGCTGATGGTGCAGTTTTTTTAGCTTTTATTACAAGTTTTGCATCTTGAAATTATGTACATTTTAAGAAAGTTAAAACAAAAGATACAACCACTACTATTCAGTCAGAGAGGTGACTGTTTTAGGTGATGAGGTTCCAATTTCACTAAAAGCAAGGACTGTTTTTTTGTGTATAGAGGAACTGGTCTCCAAATATACTTTAACAAATACACACTATTTTGTAAATATAAAGACTCAAAACACATCAGTAGAAACTAGTCTTATAATAGAGACAAGTTTTCTTTAACATGGAAATTTGTATTTTTCTAATTTGTAAAAGAAAAAAAAATTGGTCCACAAAAAGGGAAGTGGGTACATATGAGTTTATGCAGAACAAATATTGTCTTCTTATTCAGTTCCAGTTGTAGCGATCTCTTGAAGGTAAATCATAATGCATTCCTTCCTCCTCTTCAGGTCCATAATCTAATGGCAAACCATAATTGTAATCAACTGTTACAACAGGTAATCTTTTGCCTTGCTCCATTTCTCTGGTAGTTTCACCATGAAAAGGTTTTCTTTCGTAGTCTGTTGAAGTATCTTTCTGGTGTATGGATGAGGAAAGATTCATTGTGCGTGACGAATATGGTGCAAATCGATTTTTCCCCCCTCTGTTAAATTCTTCTGAAGGATGTATTCTCCTACTGTCTTCAGGACAGGTAGGCCTATTACTGCAATGAAACACAAAGTGTCAACAACAAAATCAATAGGGCTGCGTGGTACTCCATAGTGAGGGGTACGCTGCCACATTTTACTGTTCATTTACCACAGGTTAAAGTCAAGCACACAGGAAATTACCACAGAGTAGATGCCATGCTGTATAACCCTGCGCTTATTTATGCTGTGGTGAATTATTTGTGCACCCATATCCTAAGTGGATATCAGCATTTCAACAAGACGAATATTAGCATCTAGCAACCCAGATGCTTTGCAAGGTTAAATTTCTTAATCCTCTACAAAAGGTGAGGGTTTATGAACCACCTGGGGATATATACAGCAGTAAACAGTTGTACAAGGCTGCTGAGGTGCTCCAGCTGTTTGTCACAGCATTTATTTGAAAGGCTTGTCTTTAATTCGGCAACCTGTGGTGAACCACCCAGATGTGAATGATCCAGGTTTTACTGTACATGCATATATATATAATCTCTCTCTCTATATGCATGTACAGTAAAACCTGGATCATTCATGTCTGGGTGGTTCACAACAGGTTGCCAAATATATATACACACACATTTTCTGTTTACATAATTATCTTGTTTACAATTTTTAATCAGTAAACAAGATTGGGCTCACGCATTAATTAATAAATATTTCTATATTATCTCTTAAATCTTTTACCTTATCCACATGCAACTAAATTTACCGAAATATACTTAGCCCTTCTCCCAGACTCAGTTTCCGTATCCTGTATTAATTTTCCTTGAACTACATTTGCTATCTGCTGATCAAGTTACCTACATTTCTTAAAGGCTGTTTTATAGTGTGGATCAATTCAGTCTCTACCTCTACTATTCATGGTTATACATCTCCATGACACAAAAAAGTAACAGTGTAAATGGGTTATCTAGCTTGCTGGCCTATGCAGATGGGCTTTTGCTCTCTGAGGAGCCCCTCAGCCAGTCCTCTCAATAACTCACTCCTTAAGCCACAAACAAGCCAACAAATAAACAAGACAATTGTATAGGAAATTGTATAGACAATTGCAGGAAAACCTTCCTGCTCTCAGGCATTTGAAGACCTTTGGCTCTGGCTCCCAGCACAGTAACCTGGCCACTTGTAGCAAGCAGCTGAATCCATAGTTTGTTTCTTTCTCCCCGTTTACTCTTCAGGGAGCTTTTGAAAGATCTTAGCAGGACACTCACTCCCTCTCTATCCAAATGCCCTGCAGCTGGCCTCTCCCAACAGGGCTGCCTGTTCCTTCTTGAAGGGATAGACTTTCTTGATGCTTGTAACAAGGCAAAACACAGTGTAGCAGTTCAAAACACTGAAAAACAGCCAGCACCATCTGCATTAGACCCCAGGACAGGGAACACCAGGGGTAGGCAATTATTTCACCTGGGGGGGCCACTTAATGAGTTTTCGTGAGCTGTCAAACGGTTGTCCTGCTGCTTGGCAGGTGCCCTGCCTCCTGGTCACCATCTTGGGACTGGAAGTCTCAACCCCTAACCCCTGACCTTTGCTACCAGAAGTCCCCCTGTTGCCCCCGGAAGTACTCATTTTGGGGGAAGGGGGTTGCCATCTGGCGCAGAACCCGCACCCCCACCCAACAAATCATATACTAAAAGCCAATCACCTCTTATAACATATTTTAACTTAATTACAAAAAAAATTTTTGTCACAATTTGTGTTTGTGTGGTGTGTACAGAGGTGACTGCATAATACATCAAAAATAAAGCCTTACTCTTGTATTTTGTGCGGGGCATAGTTGGGGGTAGGTGTGTATATGGCGCACAGCCCCCGCCACCAGGAGCAACAGCAGGTGGTGAGCCCTCAGTGTGCTCGTGGCCCATGCAGGTGCTGCTGCCTGGCAGCTCACAGCTTCAGCCAAAGCTGCACATGGTGGCAAGGAACACAGCATGCCTGGCTCACCTCTGTCACATGGGGCTTTCTGTGCTGCAAATGCAGCTCTCAGCACTTGTGCACCACCAGGGGAAGCCCTGCGCGATGGAGGTGGCTCCCTTCCCCACCGTGTACAGCTGCCAGGACTGTGCCCAACTGGTGGGGAACCCCGCCCTTTGCTTTTATGGCAGCAGGGAAGGCAGCTGGCTCCACCATGCGGGGTTTCCCCTGGTGGCATGCATGACTGCCAGGAGCTGCATAAGCGCCATGTGGAGCCCCATGCAAGTGAAGAAGGCCAGGCAGGCTGCACTACTTGCTGCCATGTGCAGCTCTGGCTGGAGCCATGCCCTGCCAAGTAGCAGCACCTGCGCAGGCCATGAGTGCTCCTGCCTGCTGCTGCTGCCAACAGCAGGGGCTGTGCACCATGGTAGGGGAGTGTGTGGGTGGGGTCCCCACAGCCTTTCATCCTCCCTTACACCCACACCCTGCCCACCTGGGCTCCATGCTCCTTTCAGCCCAATGCTCCCTGCCCCTGCCACAGCTTCCCCAGCACCCACCCCTTCCCCACCTGGTGCCCAGGATGAGCACTGCAGCAGGGACACGAGGAGCAGCTGCTGGACACTGGGGAAACCAAGCAGGTCCCCCAACAGCTGCAGCAGTGGCAGCAGCAGCCCTGCCCAGACGCTGTGCGATGGCTTGTCCACAGCCCTTACACGTACCAGGATGGGAGCGAAGCGTGGCCGGGCAGGATACAATCCTAAGCGAGGGGCGCGACAAGTCTCTCACTGGGGTTGTAGAGAGGCAGCAGCAAGGCACCAGACTACCATGCGTAGACCCTGAGATGGTGCAGAGTCACTTGGAAGAACTGGATGCCTTTAAGTCGGCAGGCTCGGATGAGCTCCATCCGAGGGTGCTGAAGGCACTGGC